GCCATTTGGCGGTAAAAATGATCATTAGAATATGCACATCAAATTATCAGATACTTTATAGAGATTTTAACAGTAAGTATACATTTTGTTAACATTCCTAAGGGTTCCGTACCAATGCTATTGCGTTAGACAGCGACGCGGCGCTTACGCGCTTTATATTTTGTCCCTATACAGTTAAAGCAGTACGATTGCTTTGAAAAAAAGTTCAGAACTTCCACAATATGTCAAAATAAAGAAAAAAATCTTTTTTTACAAAAAAAAAAAAAAATTAAAAAAAATTTTTTTTTTTAATTTTTTTTTTTCAAAACAAAAGTTATTTTTGTCCAATTTATAGTTTCTCAAAAATCTTATTTTTCCAAAGTAATTTTTTTTCAAACTGTTAATTGTTTTTAAAAAAAATAATAATTTTAGGTACGGCAAGTACCAGCAATTTGCCTTAAGGCACAACGCCTTAATTGCCTTAAGACAGAATTCCACTTACAGCTAGTCCTTAAAGAGTTTGTAGCTCTTTGGTTTTTCTATAGACTGAGTGACAGAATTGAAACAGTCTTCCTTCTCGTCATCATCGTTGTTACTCGCATTGCTCCCTCCGCCACTTAAACTATCTCTGTCATTCGAATTTTTCGCTGCTTCTTGCCATAAGGCATCTTCTACCTTTTTTTCCGTGCATTTTCTTACTGCATTCCTCTCTACTGCTGTCATACGTTTCCAGCCACATTAACCGAAACTTTGGGTGAAATGCCGCGGCAAGTTGGCACCGTTCATCATTCAGGAGTAGTCCAAATCTTTTCTCTATGCCGTTTAATAAGGCATTGGCTAAAGCTGTGCCGTGCGGTAAATAGTAGGCATTGGATTAACGATTAACGGACTTCTCGCATTTTAACGGAAGTTAACGTGTCCGTTAACATTTTTAAAAGTTAACTTAAAAGTTAATCCGTTAATCAAAATGTTAACTTCGTTAATTAACGATTAACGGATTAACGAGTTAATGCCCAGCTATGTATATATATATATATATATATATATATATATATATATATATATATATGAGTAAGTTCTTCAAGAGCATACATCAAACAAAACATACTTTTATTTGATGTATGCCCTTGAAGAACTTACTCATATTTCTCAACATCAAAATTAACTACTTTAACATATATATATATATATATATATATTATATATATATATATATATAATATATATTATAATATTGTATGTCTGTCATTTGAATATAACGGCCAAGAGTGTCTATCCTGACGTGTATGTGCTCTATGGTGTGTCATATGTACAGTGTCTGATCCCTTACGGAACAGAAGTATGTATCTGTGTGCGAGTCGGAGTCTGGCGGTAACTTGGGTGTTGAACAGTTCGGCGTTGTGTTAATTTTGGTGGATTATTAAATGTATTTGTATGAAGTAAAAGGTGTTTTATTAATTAATTAATGCTAGAATAAAGCTAGCTTAAAATATATATATATATATATATATATATATATATATAATTAGATTTTTTTTTCGACGTTAATACATATCTTGAATAATGATTTTCAGACAGTCATCGAAATAAAAGAAACAAATAAATACAAAATATTTATTTAAAACATACGTTTCGATACGGATTGTGTGTCATCATTCAGCAATTCTTTGTTAACAGTATCTAAAAAATATTTACAAAGATTTTTTAAAAATTAAATTAAATTTTATATTTGAAATAATTAAAAGATATACATACCACACCAGGAAAAATAATTTTACGAATTATATTTTGATGAAGAATTTTTGATGTACAAGTCTATCTTGCGTTTTCCTGAATTTAATTTATGTTTTTTATTAGGAGTGTCTGCGAAAGGGCAAGAATCGGTTGCGCCCCCTTGATGCAACAGTACGGTTTCAAGTGGCCCGAAAGGATGGCTTGCGAGAGGCTTCCAGTTTTAGGCGACCCTAACAACCTTTGTATGGACAAACCCATGCAAACCGGAGGAAGCTCCGGGGGCTCCTCTAATGACAGAGGTAAGAGTAATTGATAATTCTAGGTTGTTTTATTTATTTATTTATTTTACAAGCCATCACAATTATTTATTTATCTTACAAGCAATTCTTTATACATTTTACAATTTATTTTTTTAATAATATCATAACTAGTGGTGTATGGAATCGTGCCTTAAGGCAAATTGCTGGAACTTCCCGTACCGTAATGAAATATTCGAGAAATTTTAAACGTTAATAATAAATACTGTAAGGTTAATTATTTTTGCTATCTTGTTTCTTATATCTGATTATGAGCAAATCAAATGTAGATCATAAATCAATTTATCTCCAGAACATTAACAATTGTCCATCATTTCATTTCGAATTCAATTTCAACAAAATAGTTTAGTTGCCTAATTTATACAAAATTGAAAAAGTGCTCCCGTACAGTCACAGTCTAAACGCATTTGCAAACAATTCTGTGCGACATTTTCACTTGTACTGTGCTTAGCTTGGCGGCATTTATAAGAACTAAAATGATTGTTGTTAAATTGAGGAGGCTACATTTTAATATATCTTGTTTTATACTTTTGGACCGGTTCGATTTTTATTTATTTGTTTATAACTTCTAAACAAATTGTCCGATTATTTTGCAATATCCAGCTAATTTATAGCCAATTAAATAATCTACAACTTTTATTAATAACAAAATTTTGTATCTCTTATCTTTTTACCCAAAATTTGTAATAGAACAGGTTGTTGTTAAATTTTGGAGGTTGCATCAGTATATCTTGCTTCATACTTTTGGATCAGCTCGATTTTTATTTATTTGTTTATAACTTCTAAACGAAACGTCCCACCATTTTGCAATATTCAACAAATTTATAGCCAATTAAATTATCTACAACTTTTGTTAAGAACAAAAATTGGTATCTCTTGTCCTTTTATCAATAAATTACGTTTAAAAAGGTAGTTGCTAAATTTTGGAGGTTACATCATACTAATGTATCTTACTCTGTCACTCTACACTATCAGATATAAGTCGCTCTCTTTCGCACTAGTGTTTTATATATCTCCCTCATTTTCTCACTAAATACTGTTGTCTCTTTTACGCATCAAAACAGACTCTATATCACATCGCGACTCAAGAAGTTTTACTTCATAAATAAAATTCTATTTCACTAATTTATACATCGCCAACCTAAGAAGTTCTTCTTCAAAATTTAAATTTTATTTTACTTATTTATTTACGATAAAATTCTTACATTTTCAACCTAAGAAGTTTTACTTCAGAAATGAAATGTCAAGATGTTTTACTTAAAAAAAAAAAAATTTCACTATTATTTATTTGCGATAAAATTTGTTCATTTGCTAACCTAAAAAGTTTTACTTACAAAATAATTTTTTTATTTATTTACCTAAAATTTATCAAAAATATTTATTTTATTTATTTACCTAAGAAGTTTTACTTCAAAAATATTTTTTAACTTCCCGTAGGGTAGTTATAGTAAAGGGCCGAAAATCGAAAATGAAAATTTTAGCATTTCTCGACGTTTCGAAGGTTTCTGAACATTTTTAAGGGGCATACCTCAAAAACTAAATGGATGTGTGTAGTAATTTAAAAAATTACCCAGGCTAAGCATAGTCTAAGCGCCATCCTGGTACAAATGTTTACCCAAGTGCGTTTAGACTGTTTATGTAATGGAGCACTTTTCCAATTTTGTGAGAAAACACTATTGAAAAATGTGAAAATGACGCCAAGCTAAGCACAGTCCAAGTAAAAATGTTGCACAGAATTATTTGCAAATGCGTTTAGACTGTGACTATATAGGAGCACTTTTTCAATTTTGTGTAAATTAATTGGCAACTATTTTTTTTTTTGAACTTTGATTCGAAATGAAATGACAATTGTTAATGTTCTGGAGATAAATTGATTTATTTATAGCAAAAATAATGAAAGTTACAGTATTTGTAATAATACATTTGAAAACGTTTAAAATTTCTTGAATATTTCATTACGGTACGGGAAGTTCTAGCAATTTGCCTTAAGGCACGATGCCATACACCACTAGTTATTATTATTATAATAATAATAATTATTATTATTAAGTACTTTTACAATATAACTATTTTCCCGCAGGACGTGGCGGTTCATCCTCCTCCAACCCATCCTCCTCCGGAGGCGGCGGCGGTCGCAAATCCTCCTCCTCCGGAGGTCAGTCGACTTCCTCCGGTTTGCCCCGCTGCAAGCCCGGTCAGAATCAAAAAAACTGTCGAGGGGGGTCGGCGACAGGCCCCCAAGGCGCAGGGCCGGACTACGCAGGAAGGGACTGCACGTGCAAATGTCGCCATCCTCTAATTCAACTAAACCCTCACCACCAGCACCAGAATCAGCCAGGACAACATCACAACTTCTATCAGCAGCAGGGGGGATATCTGTATCATCAGTCGATGACTTACCAGAAATTAAACCAGCACGCAAGTCTGATAAATCAGCAGCAAAACGAAAGAGGAAGAACAAGGCCGGGGGTGATCGGCAGCAACGCAAGCGTAATAAGCACAAATGCAGGCCCGTTAGATAATTGTCAGAGCCCGTGCAGGGGACCTTTCTTTACTGACCAGGAATTAGATTTTGCGGGGCTTTGGATCAGTCTTTGGTCGGGGTTGTGTTGTGTGAGCACCCTGGCGACTTTGATCACTTTTGTGATAGATACACAGAGATTTAAGTACCCTGAACGCCCAATAGTATACCTATCGTTTTGTTATTTTATGGTGTCAATAGGATACTTGACGCGGTTGGTTTCGGGTAAAGAAGCCATCGCTTGCGATGGCGACTCTGTTAAATACTCAACATCCGGACCAGACACATGCACAGTCGTATTTTTACTAGTCTACTTCTTCGGAATGGCCAGTTCTGTATGGTGGGTCATCCTAACCTTCACCTGGTTCCTAGCAGCTGGTCTAAAATGGGGCAACGAAGCCATAGCTTCATACGCAGCCTACTTCCATTTAGCAGCCTGGGTTATCCCAACCATCAAATCAGTGGCAGTCATCATGTCATCTGCAATCGACGGTGACCCAATTGCCGGCATTTGCTACACAGGCAATCTAAACGCTGATAACCTCAAAATCTTCGTTTTGATACCACTTTTCGCCTATTTGTTGCTCGGAACTTTATTCTTGTTGTGTGGTTTTGTGTCATTGTTCAGGATCAGGAAAGTTATTAAAAGGCAAGGTGGAAGTGGAGCAGGTTTGAAAGCTGATAAATTGGAGAAGTTGATGATCAGGATTGGGATTTTTAGTGTTTTGTATACTGTTCCTGCGAGCATTGTTCTTGGTTGTCATATTTATGAGAGCTCGCAGCAGACTGCGTGGTTGTCGGCGTTGGCTTGTCCTTGTGAACCACAGGTGAGATAAAAATCATCATCATAATTTATTTATTTATTTTACAAGCTGTCGGTATACTAATATTATAACTTGTGGTGTATGGCATCGTGCCTTAAGGCAAATTGCTGGAACTTCTCGTACTGTAATGAAATATTCGAGAAGTTTTAAACGTTTTCTAATATATTTTTACAAATACTGTAACTTTCATTACTTTTGCTATCTTGTTTGTTATATCTGATTATGAGCAAAACAAATGTAGATCATAAATCAATTTATCTCCAGGAACATTAACAATCGTCATTTCATTTCTAACAAAATTAAAAAAAAAATAGTTGCCTAATAATTTACACAAAATTGAAAAAGTGCTACCACATAGTCACAGTCTAAACGCATTTGCAAATAATTCTGTGCGACTTATACTGTGCTTAGCTTGGCGGCATTTTCACATTTTTCTTTCAATAGTTTTCACAAAATTGGAAAAGTGCTCATAAACAGTCTAAACGCACTTGGTTAAACTTTTGTACTAGGGTGGCGCTTAGACTGTGCTTAGTCTGGGTAATTTTTTGAATTTTTAATCCAAAATTACAAAAATATTTTATGGAAAATAAAAAAAAGGGACTCTACTGACGAGCAAATTAAAATGTTGGCAGAAAAAGGGACTTTACTGATGAGCATATTCAAATGTCAATACAATAGAGACTTTACTGACGAAAATATTAAAAAAAGGGACTCTACTAAAAAGCAAATTAAAGTGTCAATAAAATAAAGGAACTCTACTGATGAGCAAATTTAAAATGTCATTACAAAAAGGGATTCTACCGACGAGTATATTAGAAAAGGAATTCTACTGACGAGCGTATTAAAATATCAATGCACAAAACAACTTTACTGACGAGCAAATTAATATTTAAGTACAAGAAGGGACTCTACTGACGAGCAAATTTAAAACTTCAGTACAAAAAGGGACTCTACTGATGGGCAATTGAAAATGTCAATAGAAATGGAAACTCTACTGACGTACAAATTAAAATATCAATAGCAAAAAGGGACTCTACTGACGAGAAAATTAAAATTTCAATACTTTTGCAAATGATTCTGTGCGACATTTTCACTTATACTATGCTTGGCTTGGCGGGATTTTCACATTTTTCAATAGTTTGGTTTGGTTTCACAAAATTGGAAAAATGCACCAGTACATAAACAGTCTAAACGCACTCGCGTAAACATATGTACCAGAGTGGCGCTTAGACTGTGCTTAGCTTGGGTAATTTTTTGAATTTTTAATCCAAAATTACAAAAATATTTTTTGAAAAAAAAAAATTAGAAACAAATTTTTTTTTCCAAAAGCAATTGTTTTGTTTAAACAAGCAGAAAGTTTTTTAGATCATTCAAATCGGTTGCTTAGTTCACTCAAAAACTGCAATTTTTTGCACATTTAGCTCTATATCTTCGAAATGGCGGGACCTGCCTTTGCCAAAAACTAATAATCACTTCTCATCATTACAAACTGAATGTTTTTTGAATGATTCAAATCGAATGTTCCGTGCGCTCGAAAACGTAGACAAGTACTGTTTGTGCGCATCGAAAAATATTTATACAGTGGGAAAATAGAACAACCCTTGATGAGATTAAATAGCTTTTTGAAGTAAAACAATTATATGTATTTTTAGAATTAAAAAATTGACCAAATAATTGAAGTAATGTGTTAGGGTTGCACAAACCTTAATGAAAATAAATTGTTTTTCTAAATAACATTTAATCATTTTCATATACAAAACTAAATCTGAACTAAAATTATGTAAAATAAAGGTCAAATTAAAATTAAAGGAAAAATATAAGTGGGCAACCCTTGACTGTAACTTTCATTATTTTTGCTATCTTGTTATATCTGAGCAAATCAAATAAAACATTAACAATCGTCATTTCATTTCTAACAAAATTTAAAAAAAAAAATTGCCTAATAATTTGCACAAAATTGAAAAAGTGCTCCCATATAGTGACAGTCTATTGGGCATTTGCAAATAATTCTGTGCGACATTTTCACTTATACTGTGCTTAGCTTGGCGGCATTTTCACATTTTTCTTTCAATAGTTTTCACAAAATTGGAAAAGTGTCGAGTCTAAACGCACTCGGGTAAACATTTGTACCAGAATGGCGCTTAGACTGTGCTTAGTCTGGGTAATTTTTTAAATTTTTTATACAAAAAAAATTATAAAAATGGAAAATTATGGAAATTATGGAAAAAAGTAATAATTTTTTATCCTCAAAAGCAATTGTTTTGTCAATACAAGCAGAAAGTTTTTTAGATCATTCAAATCGGACGCTTGGTTCACTCAAAAACTGCCATTTTTTGCACATTTTACTCTGCATCTTCGAAATGGCAGGACCTGCTTTTGCCAAAAACTAATCACCTCTTCTCCCAGTCATTACAAATTGAATATTTTTTTAACCATTCAAATCGATTGATTCGTGCGCGCGAAAACGTGGACGAAAAAATACGGACATACAAAACACACACATACATCCATTTTTTTCTAAGGTATGCCAACTTGTTCAGAAACCACTAAAACGTGAAAATATGCAAAAATTTTGATTTTCGATTTTTTTGTCCATTACTATAACTACCCTACGGGAAGTTAATACCAGCCGTTTGTATATACCTATTTCTACCAATACCAGCCAAAATGACTGCTCTCTAAGAAAACATACTTATCGTGTTTTTAAGTTGAACAAAACTAATTACAGCTGTTAAATAACAAAATATATTAATTTTTAATAGTTTTTACAGTACTTTAGCACAATACTCAATAAAAGTGTCCGGCAGCACCCACTTGCTTGCGCGTAAAATTACAGCTACCGACGTGTTTTTAACTTCCCGTAGGGTAAGTTATAGTAATCGTCCAAAAATCGAAATCAAAAATTTTTACATTTCTCGACGTTTTGAAGGTTTCTGAACATTTTGGCATACCTCAGAAAAAATGGATGTGGGTGTGTGTGTGTGTGTGTGTGTGTGTGGTGGTGTGTGTTTTGTATGTCCGCTTTTTTTCGTCCACGTTTTCGGGCGCACGGATCAACCGATTTGAATGGTTTAAAAAACATTCGATTCCTATCGATAGGGAGATGTGCTGATTAGTTTTTGGCAAAGGCAGGTCCAGCCGTTACGGAGATATGGAGCAAAGAGTGCAAATAATAGAAAGCGAGTTTTTGAGAGAACGGATCAACCGATTTGAATGGTTTAAAAAACATTCGATTCCTATTGATAGGGAGATGTGCTGATTAGTTTTTGGCAAAGGTAGGCCCAGAGGTTTCGGAGATACCGAGCTAAATTTAAAAAAAATGGCTGTTTTTGAGAGAACTAAGCGTCCGATTTAAATGATTCAAAGAACTTTCTGCTTTTTTCAACAAAACAATTGATTTTGGAAAAAAAAATTTTTGTTTCTAATTTTTTTTCAAAAATTTTTTTTTGTAATTTTGGACTAAAAATTCAAAAAATCACCCAAGCTAAGCACAGTCTAAGCGCCACTCTGGTAGAAATGTTTACGCAAGTGCGTTTAGACTGTTTGTGTACTGGAGCACTTTTTCAATTTTGTGAAAATTATTGAAAAATGTGAAAATGCCGCCAAGCTGAGCACAGTATAAGTGAAAATGTCGCAAAGAATTATTTGCAAATGCGTTTAGACTGTGACTATGCGGGAGCACTTTTTCAATTTTGTGTAAATTTGGCAACTATTTTTTTTGGAATTTGATTCGAAATGAAATGACGATTGTTAATGTTCTGGAGATGATAAATTGATTTATTTATAATTAACTTTCCGTAGGGTAAGTAATCGCAAAAAAATCGAAAATGAAAATTTTTATATATCTTCACGTTTCAGAGGTTTCTGAATATGTTGGCATACCTTGGAGAAAATTGATGTATGTGTGTGTGTGGTGTGTGCGTCCATGTGTGTGTGTTCGGATACAAATTTTCGTCGACGATTTCGGGAACACGGATGAAGCAATTTGAATAATTCAAAAAACATTCGATTCGTATTGATAAGGAGACGTGCTGATTAGTTTTTGTCAAAGGCAGGTCTAGCCATTCCGAAGATATGGGGCAAAAAGGGCCAAAAACGGTAACTCAGTTTTTAAGAGAACGGAGCGTCCGATTGGAATAATTCAAAAAACATTTTACTTGTATTAACAGGATGAAGATTTGATCAAATTTTCATGAAGATAGGTCTAGCGGTTTCGGAGATCTAGTAAAAAAACTAAAAAAAATAACATTTGGCGGTCAACAATAATCATTAGACATTACACATATGCATATCAAATTATCAAATATTTTATTGAGATTTTAACAATAAGTATAAGTTTTGTTACATTCCTATGGGTTCCGTACCAATGTTTTTCCGTTAGACAGCGACGCGGCGCTTACGCGCTTTATTTTTGTCTGTTAGGCAGTACGATTGCTTTGAAAAAAAGTTCAGATCTTCCAAAATATGTCAAAATGAAGATAACATTTTTTCCAAAAAAAAATTTTTACAAAAAAAATTGTTTAAAAATTTTTTTAAAAAAAAATTTTTTTTTTCAAAAAAAGTAATTTTTTGTCCAATTTAAAATTTCTAAAAAATCTTATTTTTTCGAAGTAAAATTTTTTCAAAAATGTTAATCGTTTTTAAAAAATAATAATTTTTGGCACGGGAAGTTCCAGCAATTTGCCTTAAGGCACGATGCCTTAATTGCCTTAAGACAGAATTCCACTTACAGCTAGTTAGATTTTAATTTCAATGCCATATGAATAATTATAAAAATAATATCGGTTATTTTATTTATACCCTTCATGGTATATGTTTCAAGAATTTTCATTACTACAAATTCGCTTAGAGAGAGGGGTTGATTCATCGTCTTTCGCTAAATAAGGGCAACCATTTACCATATGAATTTTATGTAAACTTATAGTTTCTTTGGCATTTACTGGCTAGATATGCTTCTGGCTTTTATTGGAAAATGTTATTCAACCATAGTGATATATGATCTCCCGGTTTGAAGCAATTTTTGCTATTTTCTATAATTTGTTCCAAACCCGGGTTTTTTTTCTATAAATTTGGCCTTATTAATGTGTCTGAATCATAACATAACATTGTTTGAGCAATTATTTTTGTACCAGGTTCGTCCTTTGTACTCGGTCATCATGCTGAAGTACTTTATGCTCCTTGCCGTTGGCATAACCAGTGGTGTATGGATTTGGAGTGGAAAGACTGCCGAAGCCTGGAGGATGTTTTGGAGACGACTTTGTTCTGGAAGCTCAGGAGGTAAAAATCAAACTTCAATGATAAGAGTATACTAGTTCATTACTCATTTCATTTCGAATTTAATTTAAAAAAAAATAGTTGCCTAATTTACACAAAATTCGAAAAAGTGCTCCCGTATAATCACAGTCTAAACGCATTTGCAAATAATTCCGTGCGACATTTTCACTTATACTGTGCTTAGCTTGGCGGCATTTTCACATTTTTCAATAGTTTTCACAAATTTCACCACAAAATTGGAAAAGTGTTCTAATACATAAACAATCTAAACGCACTTGGCTAAACATTTGTACCAGAGTGGCGCTTAGACTGTGCTTAATCTTGGTCTTTTTTTTGAATTTTTTGAATTTTTAATCCAAAATTACAAAAATATTTTATGGAAAATAAAAAAAGATGTAATAATTTTTTATTCCCAAAAGCAATTGTTTTGTCAAAACAAGCAGAAAGTTTTTTAGAACATTCAAATCTTTTTTCAAATTTTTACACATTTTAGCTCTGTACCTTCGAAATGGCGGGACCTGTCTTTGCCAAATTTCCCGGGTCCAAATTCCATTTGTTAGTCAGTGGAGTTTCTTTTCTCTTAAAGTTTCTTAAAACTTCTTTGTCATTTTACAAATCTTCAGGTTGCTCGTCAGTAGAGTCCCTTTTACCTAATATTTTCATTTGCTCATCAGTAGAGTCCCTTTTTTCTCTTTGTATTTTTATTTGCTCGTCAGTAGAGTCCTTTTTTCTAATAATTTCTTTATGCTTGGCAGTAAAGATTCTTTTTCTTACAATATTTTCAATTTGCTCGTCAGTAGAGTCCCTTTTTCTTCCAAAATGTTTTAAGCAAAATTTTGCTTGTCAGTAGAGTCCTTTTTCCTAATATTTTTATTTGCTCGTCAGTAGAGTTCTTCTCCGAATCATTACAAATTGAATGTTTTTTAGATCATTCAAATCCGATGCTTTGTGCTCTCAAAAAATGTTCAGAAACCTTCAAAACGTCGAGAAATGCAAAAATTTTCATTTTTAATTTTCGGCCCATTACTATAACCACCCTACGGGAAGTTAATAAGATTTTTTTTAAAAGAAATGGAACTCTAACGATCATTTACCACTTTTTAAAAAAGAATTGAAAATGGATAGAAGGGACTCTACTGACGATCAAACTGAAATTGGAATAAATTGGACAATCTGGTGGCCGTTGCAACTAAATTAAAATAAAGAGAAAAGACTCTACTGACGATCAAACACAGTTTAAACGAAAATTAAGAACACTACTGACGGAATCAAACGCAATTTGAAGTGTAAAATGAACTCTACTGACGAGCAAATTTAATCGTTGATACAATTTCATTGACTGACCATTCAATTTCAAAAAAATATAAAATAAGACCGATGAGCAAATTCAGAAGAAAGGACTCTACTGACGAGGAAACTTAAAAAAAAGATTACTGACAAACCATTATGGTTTAAAGAGAAAAAAGGAACTTCACTAATAAGCAAAAAAAATTATATTAATACCAATTGTTATTTCATAGGGATTTGTTTTGTGTCAACATGAACTGGTTGCAAGTTGCAACTTCCAAATATGTGTAAATAATCGACAGAAATAAACAGAAAATTCGAAAAACAGCGTTTTGTTATGGTATGCCTTAAAAATGTTCAGAAATCTTCAAAACGTCGAGAAATGCAAAATTTTTCATTTTCGATTTTCGACCCATTACTATAACTACCTTAAGGGAAGTTAATAACTTGCCTTCTAAAACTAATTTGTTATTACCAGGTCGAACCGGTATGGGTGGTGCAATGGGTGCAGCCATGGGCGGTACTTTGGATCCTCATCGAGGAGGGGCTGAACAGCTCTCATCAAACAAGGACCCCTGACCTCCGGAGTCATGGGTTACCACCAGGCCGTATATGGTAACACATTGCCGGCTGGAGGTGTGACATCACTTGGCAGGTTAGTATATAACAAATTTAAGAAGTGGTTTGTATGATATCGTGCCTTAAAGCAAATTGCTGGAACTTCAGTAGTCAGTAGAGTTCTTTTTTATCTTCTCTGATCTGCTAATTGATTTGCTTGTCAGTAGAGTCCATTCTTTCTCTCTAAGTTGATTTTTAATTTTATTTAATCGTCAGTAGAGTCCTTTTTTATTTTCTAGATCCAAATTTAAATTTGCTCGTCAGTAGTTTTCTTTTTTATATTCTAGATCTAAATTTAAGTTTGCTCGTCAGTAGAGTCCTTTTTTATTTTCTAGATCCAAATTTAAATTTGCTCGTCAGTAGAGTCCTTTTTCATCATCTAATTAGATATTTAGTTCACTGGTTAGTAGAGTCCTTTTTATCGCCTAAATTGATTTTCAATTGACTCGTCAGTAGAGTCCTTTTGTTATTTTTTAAATTAATATTTAATTTGCTTGCCAGTAGAGTCCTTTTTATATGTTCCAAGTTGATATTTAATTTACTCGTCAGTAGAGTCCTTTTGTTATCTACTAGGTTGTAAATTTTCTCGTCAATAGAGTCCTTTTTTTACTTCTAGGTTGACTTTGATTTGCTCGTCAGTAGAGTCCTTTTTTTATTCTTTAGATCTATATTTAAGTTTACTCGTCAGTAGAGTCCTTTTTTATTTTTTTAAGCAAATAATTAATTTGGTCGTCATTAGAGTCTCATTTTCGATTTTCGGCCCATTACAATAACTTACCCTACGGGAAGTTAAAAAGGGACTCTACTGTCCCTATAAAATTCAATATAAATCTAGAACAAAGGACTATACTGACGAGCAAATTTAAATTTAAACCTCAAATAAAAAAGGGACTCTACTGACGAGTAAGTTTAAATTTAGATCTAGAAAATAAAAAAGGACTCTACTGACAAGCAAAATTAAATTTAAACCTTAAATATAAAAAAGGGACTCTACTGATGAGCAAACTTGAATTTAGATCTAGAAAATAAAAAAGAACTCTACTGACGAGCAAATTTAAATTTAGATCTAGAAAATAAAAAAGGGACTCTACTGACGAGCAAAATTAAATTTAAACCTCAAATATAAAAAAGGACTCTACTGACGAGCAAAATTAAATTTAAACCTCAAATATAAAAAAGGACTCTACTGACGAGCAAACTTGAATTTAGATCTAAAAAATAAAAGGGACTCTACTGACGAACAAATTAAATTAGATACTTAAAATATAAAAAAGGGACTCTACTGACGAGCAAAATTAAATTTAGATCTAGAAAATAAAAAAGGGACTCTACTGACGAACAAATTAATTAGATACTTAAAATATAAAAAGGACTCTACTGACGAGCAAATTTAAATTTAAACCTCAAATATAAAAAAGGGACTCTACTGACGAGCAAATTTAAATTTAAACCTCAAATATAAAAAAGGGACTCTACTGACGAGCAAAATTAAATTTAGATCTAGAAAATAAAAAGGGACTCTACTGACGAACAAATTAATTAGATACTTAAAATATAAAAAAGGGACTCTACTGACGAGCAAATTTAAATTTAAACCTCAAATATAAAAAAGGGACTCTACTGACGAGCAAATTTAAATTTAACCTCAAATATAAAAAAGGGACTCTACTGACGAGCAAATTTAAATTTAGATCTAGAAATAAAAAAAGGGACTCTACTGACGAACAAATTGATTAGTTGCTTAAAATATAAAAAGGGACTCTACTGACGAGCAAAATTAAATTTGAACCTCAAATATAAAAAAGGACTCTACTGACGAGCAAAATTAAATTTTGATCCTCTAATATAAAAAAGGGACTCTACTGACGAACAAATTAA